CCAGGGTCCTGGGATAGAGCCCTGTATCGGGCTCCCTGCTCAGTGGGGAGCCTGCTTCTCCCTCTCCCTCTGCCTGCCACTCTGCCTACTTGTGCTCTCTTCTTTATCTCTGTGAAATAAATAAAAAAAATAAAATCTTAAAAAAAAAACAACCTTCAGCTTAAATGAGCTCTTCCTTTAATGAGCTTGCTGTTCCCTAGAGAACAAGTTCCTTCTGGGTAGTCTAGTCTGGTTAGCCCATGCACAGGACAATTAACATTTGCAGTTAGCAGTTGAAGAGGTATAAAAAATTATTTACAATAGAGTAGTATAATATTTCTCTCATAAAAGAAAGGAGGCAAAAATACGAAGTTTTTTTTTTTTTTTCACTCCTGGGATCTTTAAATTTTTCTTTAGGTCAGTGGTCTTTGAGGGGTAAGAAATGTTTCTTTCAATTTTGAGCTACAGAAAATAAGCCACAGGACTCAAGGTAAATAGGCCAAGGACTGAATACAGGTAGATTTTTACTTTAACAAACTACTATGAGGAACCCTAGTTCAGCAGAATGAGATTATTTCCTTGGTTGGGTTGATAGCTCTTACGAGCAAAGTTTTGCATATGTGGATATAAAGACTGCTACTGCATGAAAAGTCCTGTTTAATAGAGCCTTTCATTAGTCCTGTTCATTGTGAAGTTTGTTTAACAAGTGTTTTTCTTTTGGTGAAATATTTATGCAGTGTCTGTACTTAATTATCTCACCAAGTTAATAGTTGAATATTCTTAATAAAATGTGAGGGTGATTTTTCCAAAATGTTGAACTGTCAACTTCAATATATTTTGTATCCATACACATACTATATATATATATATATAGCTTTCTTATGAGGTACATAGTAATTGGATATTTAGTTAAGGCTGTTTTTTTGGCTGTTAGGGGTATAAAATGATAGGTAGGATAAAAACTAAGAAGTTTAAGTACAACCCTGAATTTCTTCTTCCAAACTACACATATATCATAACAGTTCACAGTGGGCAAGTGGTTTGGTCACTTTGCAAGATTTGAGGTTTCAGAGCAGTACCCTACCATTTATCAAAACCTCTCTTGAACCCACAGCAAGGAAGTACGTGTCATTGTCCTTCTGTCCCATAGTCTTTAACTATAAATGCTCCCAAAGTCATCAACGCAATGTTTTAGGTAATAGCTTAAACATTATTAAGACTATCTCATTGCATTCAGATGCAGTTCGAGAGCAAGAACAAGTTAAACATAGGCAGAGCAGTATTTCCTCTTTCAGATGACATAGCTTGGAAACCAGCAAAACCCTCCCTTTGGCAAAACAGCCTTCCTCTTCCAGCAAACTTTGTGTGTATGTGCTCATGTGGCCAAGGAGGGGGAGTGGGCTTTCATGTAAATCAAGATTATAACCATTGTCTCTCTACTGGGCCCACAGCTTCTATTTTAAGGAGGAGGTGTGCTTACAAGAATGATGTTGATATTGCTTTATGCTAGTTAAAACAGGGTTCTACTTATAATACCAACTCTAGTAGCTCCCATGAAAATTATGGGAAGCTTTTGGGAATCAGTGACCCTTGCCCTTCCAAATGAGTATTGAATGACCTAGGTATCTCTGACTGAGATTATCTTGTATATAAGATGGAACCCAAGGTCTTTTGGTGCTGAAAATGTCTATGTAGATTCCTTATCTAGTCTATTAAAAAAAAAAGAAAGAAACCCTAAGCCCCCCCCCCTTTTTTTCTTAAATTAAGAGGGTGTGCTCGGGGTGCCTGGGTGACTCAGTCAGTTAAGCGTCTGCCTTTGGCTAAGGTCATGACCCCGGGGGTCCTGGGATTGAGCCCCATGGCGGGCTCCCCACTCAGAGGGGAATCTGCTTCTCTTTCTCCCTCTGCCCCTCCTCCCGCTTGTGCTCTCTCTCCCTCTCTCTCTCTCTCTCAAATAAATAAAATCTTTAAAAAAAAAAGAGGGTGTGCTCAATCTTAAGATGAAATCATTAAGTCAGACTAGCTGGCAAAGTCAAAAATGCTATAGCAGAGGAAAAAGCCATACAGGAAGAAAGGATAGTAAAGGAAAAAGGACTCATGAATCCCACAGGGAGAGGCAGTTCAGGAGCAAACTAGAAATTGAGTGGCAAATGAAAATTAGAGCATCTTTTAAGTGAACCAGTAATAAGAGATCTTTTATTTATCACAGGTAAGGAGCGAGCCAGAAAATCAATGGGCTCATGGAACATGAGGGATTAAAAGGAGATAGCAGATACACTGCATGACTTTTTTACATGAGTAAGCCATTCCTATGTTGACTATATCTTTCGAGGTAGGCAGATGGGTCAGCGGTCATAATGGAAAATGGGCAACAGACTCTGCTTCCCAGCAACAAACTACAAGCAGTCAAAAACATAATGACTGGAACTAAGTGATATAGTTACCAGGGCTGAACCTCTGCAGAACTATTTAGCTTGTTTTAGATTGTTTTGGTTTTTTGTGCCTCTTTTCCTCTCCTGCTCCACTAACCCAATTCTTGATCCTCTGAATGCTCAGGGTGCTCGTGCTCTAACCCTTTCAAAACTTGCTATGGAGAAAGCATACATCTCTGGCAGAGTGAAAGTTAGGAGAAGGGGTTGTGGCAAAATTCCACTTTAAAACCTATTTCTCATTGTAGAATAAAAGTGTATTTCCTGTTAAAGGAATTTCAGGCAACAGATGGGAGAGATGTTTGGGTCAGGAAGCCTTCCTGGCACCTTTGGAATCAGAAGTGCCTTCACATAACACCTTGACCAGACCTGACTTCTGAAAGAAATCAAAGGGGACAATTACTGTACCTCTAATGAAAACCCGGAACCTGTTATTCTGGATGATCACTGTGTAGATTGGTGGTGTGCCTCCATGAGGCAAAAGGGGCCCTGGGAACTATAAGGTGATGAGTGTCTGGTACTTTAGTAAGCAAGCTGGGAGAATCTTTAATCAGTGCTGGCCTCCTGTACATTAGGGTGGGGGCAGCAACATGATTTCTGTAAAGGGAAATCATATGTGATCGCCCGTGGATCTTTTCTTTGGGGCTAAATTCACTTTTTATTTATTACTTATTTTTAAAAAGATTTTATTTATTTATTTGACAGAGAGAGACAGCCAGAGAGCACAAGTGGAGGGAATGGTAGAGGGAGAGGAAGAAGCAGGCTCCCCACCGAGCAGGGAACCTGATGCGGGGCTCCATCCCAGGCCCCTGGGATCATGACCTGAGCTGAAGGTAGACGCCCAACCAACTGAGCCACCCAGGTGTCCACTAAATTCACTTTTTAAACGCTTCTAATTAAGTCTGATACCGAATCTATATTGAAACAGGAATTACTATGGGATAAACATTTTTTTTGTCCTGTAGTAGGAACTGGTTTAGAGAGACACAAGGGGGAAAATATAAAGGAGAAACAGACATTATGCTCATGGAAGGAGGGTGAGTAGTAGATTTCCTTGGGAGTGGGCACTCCCCAGGTCGGCAGAGAATACTCAGCTTTTCTAGTCAGTGAAATGCCAAAATGATGGGGGATAAAGGTAGATCTCAAGAGGTTTTATGATTGGCAGATGGGCTTCAATAGGGGCATGTGTAAGGTAATTTATTTAGGGAAGGCCAGATACTACAAACTCTCCCTGCAGGATGATGGGTGCTGACTTTTCAATTAAGGCCCAGGAAAAAGCAAGCTCTAGGAAACCCTGTGGACAGAGCACTGAAGAGAAAAACTGAGTTTCTTGCTATGGTAAAAAAAAAAAAAAAAAAAAGAAAAGAAAAGAAAAAAAAGAAAAAAAAAGGACAGCAAAATGTTGAGCACTCTCGAGAAGGGGATTAAAAGAAAAACAAAATAATTCTCCTTTTACACAGAACCACAGGATATCTTCATTGGTAAAGTTACATAAGCAGCTCTGATCTGCACATCTCAAGAAGGACAGAACAGAGCCTGAGGGGAACAAAGAAAGGCAATTAAAACCATCAATGGCAGGCTCCAAAAATAAAGGCCTTTTCAGTCTGACAATACAGAGGTAGCCAGGGGACATGATCAAAACCATGAAGAGGCTAGAGCTGCTGCATGATGACTTGGCTTGCAAAATCTCTTGAGCTAAGAAGCACCTTTGAAGCATCAAGTTTTTATTTTTTAATACTTCTGCTTTGTTTATACAACCGCTGGTGATGATGTCTAGCGTGGGGTCTTTTGGGGAGCCCCTGTTTCCACCAGAGGGTGGGAGAAATCTGAGCTGAGTGGGCTAGGAATCAAAAGCACCTCCATCCCCATTACTTACCTTAAGTAATGTTGACTTGCTGACTTCTAGTCAGACTTACTTTCTCTACTGCTGATGTCAGCAGCGAATTTGTACCTAACCAATCGCCAATTTTTATGAATATGAGTTTACCCCCCCCCCACCGTCCTGTAGGGCTTTTCAGCCCCAATGGTCTATACATTGTAGTCTTGGCACCAAACTGTCTTCCTACAAGTGGTTGTAATTTGATCCTTAACCACAGTAAAAAGAACAGATTCCTGACCCCAATTGTAACGCAAAGGACAGAACTCCAGAACTCGTAATGAAGAACTTTCTAATATTCACACCAGCGGGCGGAAGTAGATCTCCATAACGGGAAGCGGAAATGAACCCTTCCAGGCTAATGGAATGACATGCATGCAGGTTTTGGCTAAGAAAGTAGCAGACAAGGGATAATCCAGGCCAGCTCAGAAGCTCTGCTCTTGGGATGACCTTAATCGGATGGGACAGCAGGTAAGATCAAACCAAGAGTGTGGCTCTGTTCCAAACACTCAGCTCTCCTAAACAAGGGATGGCAACCTGATCAATTAAGTACAATGAGCAGTGTACAAAAGCTACATAGGTATACAGTGGCTCTTTTCTTTTCTTTTTTTTTTTTTCCAAATTGTTCCTTGAAAACAAGAATTCTTAAGATTGGGGGCCCTTTCATCCTACAGAAATGCAATCCACTTGTTACTGGCCCAGTGTTGCTGCCATACCTTTCACAGATGTGGTAATACTTCTCATCCTGTATGCCGTCCTGAATGGGCACATTTACACTGTAGTACCGTCCCTTCCCTAGGCCAACATCAGACACGTCACCTGTTCCTGTGAAAGAGAGGAGCACCAGGAACAGTTTTAAGAACACGAGCATTAGAAAACTCGAAGGATTCTCTGATAGGAGTTCAGGACAGTAAAAGGTCAAGTAGAAGAACGGTCCTGGATTAGTGATGATTTCTGAGGGAATGAAATTAAGAAAAATAATACAGAGAAGTAACTGTTGTAAACAATGTTGGGGAAAGAGGAAAACCATAAGAAAATGGAAAAACCTTAGTTTCCACTTGGCTAGATCAAATTAAAGAACAGAAAAAGGTGAACTCCTTTGCTTGACTTTCCATATGTCTTGGATTGATATAATATTAGTATATCATTGCACTTATCGGGATGTTAGGAGTTACAAAGGGTATCTGATAGGACAGGAAGTATAAGTGACCTGTCTATTGACAGTCCATAAAAGTCATCTGGAGAAACAGTAGTACATTCCTCCTATCATTGTCACCCAAAACGACCTGTGTTAAAATGTTGCACAGAGTAGCACCAATAAAGTACCAACAGCATGGAACTCTCCAAACATGAAACATAAGGATGTATAGAAGAGCTGTAGCATTTCTTCTTCAAATGTAACACTGAGCACACAGATTACTTGCCTGGGAAAAATCCCGGGGAGAATTTGTGCAGGGACACTGTCATGACTTTGGAGGTGAAACTGAAGGCATCTTCTACACCTACCAGAGGGGGGGAAAAAAAACAAACAGCAGAAGAATCACTTTATATATGCAACTCCCGTTTGCAACAACTGAAATGCTAGGAAGCAGCTGTGGGAAGTAAGAGGGAGGATAGCAATAATAAAGCTAACAAGCTGAGGAATAAAAGGAACAAGACCCTCCAGTCTTTGATCTCTTTTGTTATAGGATGAGGTAGAACTCTGGTCCCAAGTGAAGTTTTGGGGTTCCTTTTCAAATGCATGGCAAGTTATAACTTGACTTGCCCTTTCCAAGCAACGGGATGTCCAGGCTCCCTTAGACAACCTCTTCTAGGACGCCTGGGGGGCTCAGATGGTTAAGCGGCTGCCTTCGGCTCAGGTCATGATCCCGGGGTCCTGGGACTGAGCGCCGCACTGGGCTCCCTGCTCGGCGGGGAGTCTGCTTCTCCCTCTGCCCCTCCCCCTGCTCATGCTCTCTCTCTCTCTCACAAAAATTAATAAATAAAATCTTTTTTAAAAAAGAAACAAAACAAAACAAAAAACCTCTTCTAAAAGGTGTGGAAGGCTCGAGCTCAGAATCGAAGCATTATCAATAGGGAACTGGCACCATCTTGGAAGTTTTATGTTCTGTTTTGTTTCAGTGGTTCTAGTTAAATTCTTGGGATTTTTTTTTTTCCCAAAGAAGTACAATGTGGCAATCCTCTGCAAAACATTAGGCATCATGTAGTGAAAACCTAATGATAAAGTGCTTCTCTATGATACAGATTTGGTTATAAGCGCCCTTCACCCAAAGTCTAAGCAGCTTAGAGTGTATCTTTCTCGCCAAAACAAGGAAGGCTAACAGTCCTGGGCATTCCTTAATAGTACCTTTATAACAAAGTTTTAAAGCTTGAAGAAAGAAGGTTGGGGGGGGGTGCTTTTCTAGAAAGGTGTCTCCTTTCCATTTGAACAGAGGCAGAAAATGAATAGACGTCTGGGAGATGGAAGATGTAACTCTTATGAGCCACTACTTATTTCAGAAAAATGCACTGCCCACCTCCACACCTTTCCTCCCAGAATCACATATTGTCATACTATATTCAGACAGTCCATTTGTAAAATGGAAGGACTATTAGTAAATTCATGTACTATCCTCTTCTATACTTCAAATAAAGAAACTGTCTCTGTGTTTACTTAATGCTTTCAGTCTTCATTAGAGGCCAAAAGAGACCTTAGAAAAATATTAACTGTATTTGTGTATCACAGGTATGTTTGAATTTCCCAAGCCTTATGTTTTGCCCTAGGGAGGCAGTTAAAACCAGTTAAAGGCTCCAGGCACAAGGCATTAAGTAAACAAAATAAAACAAAACAAAACATATTAAAATCGCATTTTAACTTAGAAACTGAAGTATAAACAAGGACAATTCATAAAAATCCTGATTATTTCTTGATCCACAAAGGTGGTACCGATTTATCCTTCTATCAGTGGTGTATGAGGGTTCCCATTTTCTCTCACCCTGACTGTCAATGGGTGTTATTATTCTTTTTAAACTTAGGTAGAAAAAAGGATCTTGTTTAGTTTGCGTTTCTCTGAGTGTTAAGAGTGTTGAGGACCTTATCGTATGTTTAGCAGCTATTTGTATCTCCTCTCGTGGGAAATGCCATTAGGTATTGTTAGCAAATCATACTTTAAAAAAGGGACACAGACAGATAGGTGGAGGGTATGGGGCTGAGTGTGAAAGAGAACAGTGGTTAGGTAAACAAAAGGAGGTGAAAGAAAGTGAGGACAGGCTAAGAGTGCTAGTGAAGCCACCAGAGGATGCTAGTTATGGAATCATGGGAGATTTAAAATAAACCAAATGTGTAAGAGTTTGGAGGCAGGGCAGAGGTCACTGGAAGGGAGGTGCTGAAGAGGGGGAAATAAACTGAAATGAAACACACCATAAAAGTTGGGCTAAAACAGGAAACTCTAAATGGTGTAGAAATAACATTGCAAATGGAAAGAACGGTTTCAGGTGACAGTCATTTCATTCTTACGTGGTTCAATTAGAGTTGATTCTATTCTTGAGCTCTGAGACTAACAGTTTGAATTTCATAATCATTCATTCAACAAATATTTTACTGAACCACTGCTATATGCATAGTTCTGTTTGTTCAAGCCATTGTGCAGGACAGAAAGAAGTAAACAACTTGATCTCTGCTCTGGAGGAACTGAAAGTTTCTATGGGAGGAGAAGACAGACACATTAAAGAGTTAACTAACAATACAAGACAATATATAATTAAGTAGCAAGTCAGCGATATAAACAATACAGGACTTGAGGAGGGGAGAGAACACTTGGGCTGGAGTGGTTAGGGCAAATGTGCTACTGTTGGAACTTGAGCTCCTGGGGGGAACTTGGAGGAAAAAGCAAAACTAACTTAGGAAAGAGTAATGCAAAGTCGGGGGGGGGGGCATGGTGGGAGCACTGAGACATGTCTGGGGATCACTGAGTCGAGTAGCCTGGACAGCAGGTAGTGAGCGAGAAGACTGGTGACAGGAGACAAGGTCTCTTTCAGGCAGGCCTCAAAAACAGGGCAGAGTGTGGACTTGACCTTGCAGAGCACTGCTTTTTTAAAGTGTGGCCTGTGGACTGGCTGGACTGCAGCTAAAAGGCAGCCTCTTGCGTTTCGTGACCGGACCCTACTAAATCTGAGTATCTGGTGGACATGGCCCAGGAATCTGCATTTTAAAACAAGTTTCCCGGGGTCACCATGCTACATATGCGAGTTTGAGAACCACTGTTACAGGCCAAGGGTTAGCCGACCAAGGGGCTACATGGCAAATATTTTAGGCTTTGCCAAGCCTACATGGTTTCTACTGCATTTTTTTTCTTTATGACCTTGTAAGAATGTAAAAAAAAAAAAAAATTCTTAAAAAATTGCTGGCCATACAAAAACAAGCCATGGGCCAAATATTACCGTCGTTACAGGCAATAAGGAGCCTCTGAAGGTTTTTGAGCAAGGCTGTTTCGCGTTGGCTGAGGACTCAGATACTCAGTGGACGTGGTTCTCAAAATGGTAAGTTGGTTGTTTTAACTCTTTTCTCCGTTACCTTTAATTTTCTGTCACCATTCCATGGAAGCATCCATCTAGATGAACTCCTTGGGGAGGTCTCCCCCACAATTTCTTCCTTCTTTTTCTGTTTTGGCAGGAGAGCTGATCCTATCCCCTGTCATATACTATTCTTTTCCTCGCTTATGCCTTGATTATGTTAGTTTGTCTCCCCAAATCCCTGGAAACAGGGAAGCAGCCATCACTGGTGGGGAGGAGAGGAGGGGCTACATTTAATTAATTTTACTGGATAAGTGTTCCTAGGTCATCGGAAACATGTGTCACACACAAGATTTATTAAAGAAACAGCAAGTGGGTAACTGTCACTGAAGCTCTACATTCTAGATGGAAAGTACGTAGGAGGGCTTGGGTAGTACCCTTCCAGTGAAATCCTCTAAGGGGGCATTAATGGCCTGAGGCAAATCAAGATTCTGCTGCTGTTAAAAGTTACACCAGGTGGGGGCGCCTGGGTGGCTCAGTCGTTAAGCGTCTGCCTTCGGCTCAGGTCATGATCCCAGAGTCCTGGGATCGAGCCCCGCATCGGGCTCCCTGCTCAGCGGGGAGACTGCTTCTCCCTCTCCCGCTCCCCCTGCTTGTGTTCCCTCTCTCGCTGTGTCTCTCTCTGTCAAATAAATAAAATAAAATCTTAAAAAAAGAAAAAGTTACATGAGGTGCCCTGAGTTTGTGCAGCACTAAATATTTTAGCAATACAAAGAAAGTGGCACAGATTCTGATCACTACATGAGTTGGTATCCCTATGGGTGAAAAATTCAGAGTGTTAGTCCATTATACACTCATTCAATCTTAAGAGTAGCAACGAGGCTGTCAGCTGTAACTGCCGATTTCACTTAGAACCTATGCAAGTGCCCTGAGGGAGGTGACTGAGCGCTGAGGACGTACTGGACAAGATCTCCACTTCTTATCGTTCTCTCCTGGAGAACTTTGCTGGTGGAGGAGAGGGGAGGGGAAATGACAGGAACCTGGTATTTTAGAGCATCTTGGTCAGCACAGGAGGAACTACGTCACTTAGAAGAATCTCTCTTCTACCTTACTTGAGGATTCTAGAAGAATTTCAATTGCAACAGGCATTTCTCCTTTTACCAGTCGCCTAGAAGCAGCTTTACTGATAAAAACCTTCTGGCCTAGCAGCAAAGCACCTTTGAAAGTGAAGGGCTTACCATCTCCATGGTGCAGATCCAAATCCACATAGAGAATACGGTCAAATTTCCGTCGCAATCGTAATATTCCCAGGACAGCATCATTGAGATAACAAAAACCAGATGCTTCATCTCTGTAAGAAAACAAGTTGCTACAGCCAACAGCCAAAAGCAATCCAAGGGAGTCTTTACAGCCAAGGCTCTAACCCTTGAGATCTATTCCAATTCCCCCTTCTTTTAAGAAAAACAAAAATCTACCTACACAGATTATATAGTAAATGGCTCAGAATGATCAGGGGATGGAGTGTTTTGGTAAACTACATATTCAGGTCAATTGGTAACATTTTCCAATTTATGATCCCAGATTTTCAAAGAATTAGAATGTTCTAACTAAATTGGACAAAACAGAGCTTTTCTCTAATGATTCAGGAATGATTTTGAAGACTTGTAGTACCCTAGAATCTAGAAGGGGCCTTGAAGACCATCTTGCTCAGCCAGATGTAGAAGATGATGGAGATTGGAGTCTCTGTACTGATCGTATGACATAACCTAGAAGTTGTTCCTTTCTTTCTTTAAGTTTTTGCACTTGTTGCTCATAAAAGCTGAGTGTAAAATGTACAAATGCATAACCTCCTGGGCGGCATGTGGTTGCCTTTCGGTAAATGTGATTATTACAAGAGAGACTGAAGCAGCCTCCTCTAAAGTTACTGTTTCCTTCACTAAACTTGTCTTCAGTGACTTCACTGGTGTCCTTTAACTTTCTTGCTATTGGTGATACTGTGTCACTTTAACCTCTTGTCAACATTAACCTACTCCTCTATTAAGAGGGACCTACTCTTTTTATTAAGTTGCCATTAAGTCTTGTTGAGTAGATGTAAAAGTGCACTCTTTATCATCAAAATGTATTATAGTTTATTTTTAAGGCCTCATCCTAAATGCTTCAATCTCTTCCGCTTCCACAGACACTTTAAATGTCCAGCCCATTTCTTACCCAAGTTCTCCCTGATATTTGACTTGAAACAGTTCTAAGCATGAGCATCATTTAAAATAGCATCTTCAGTACTATGAGATTGTAAGATCTTTCTAGTCCACAATGCATAAACTTCTTCATGAAATCTCTTCCATAATAACGTTTCATATTCTGAACAATACCCTGGTTCACAGGCTGAATCAACGAGACAGGTACATTGGCGAGCAGGAAGTTGGTAAAAAATATCACCGAGCATTGATTTTTCTTATGAAAGTGAACTCAGTGATCATCTAGCAAAAAATAGCTTGGCCTTAGATATGCACCCGGGAAGAAACCAATATGAGAAAAAGATTGGCCCACCCACGAATTCTCTGTAAATAAGAGTTTTGAAAGTTCCTGGATGCTGTTTTCGAATCATGAAAGGCTTACATTTTGTCAGTCTACTGTCTTAGCACAACAACAAAGAGAAACATCAGTAACTTTTGGATAGGTAAGACAGGATGTTAAGTGTTAGGCAAAAAGAGGAGTGTACAGCATAGGGAATATAGTCCACAATATTGTAATAACTTGGTATGGTGCGAGATGGTAACCGGACTTATTGTGGGGATCATTTTGTAGTGCATAGAAATGTTGAATCACTATCATGTATACCTGAAACCAATAGGACACCGTATGTCAATTATACTTCAATAAAAAATAAGTAAAGAGGAGGGAGGGGGGAGGAGGAGAAATACAAATCAATGCAGGACATACTTTTTCCCCTCAGAGCCTACAAGGGAGACAAGTCATAAGCACAGAAAAACAAAACCAAAAAACAAACAAACAAGGCAAGCAGAAATAATATGGTATATAAAGAATACCTGCCTCTAAAAAACCTGGCCCCCTTCCTTTCCTCTGAGATGTTATTTGTTAACGATCATCCTCCCTATTACAATAGCTTAGATAATATTAATATTATTCTGTAATTCAGGAAGGCCTTTGCATGTAATATTTTCCTAATATGTTCTTAAAGGAGCTCTAGTCTCACTGGAGTATAGAAATAAGTGCTTAGATAAATAGAATATTCCTAACATTCCCAGAAAATAAGGAAACTAAACTTTGAAGACTTTTAATGTACTAAAAGAATATTCCTTTAGAAACAAACTCAGATGTTTTAAGAATTCAAGTTGGCATAATTTACGTAAATCTTTGGCAGACAAGACTAATTTAATAAATTTGGTTACTAAAATTGGCTACGTCTTTTCTAATTTATCAGTGTTAAGTATAATATACATGTAGATTTTTATCCTACTTGAGTATATTCTTCCTAAATTTATACAGGTTTACTAATTAAATGAGCTAACATTACTTCTACTAAATGTCTGAAATTATGACAAATGTAAATTTGTTTAGCCTAATTTAATCATTATTCTAACGAACTTTATTTCAACAGTAATTATGTTTTGTAGTATGTCAGCTTGAAGATAATTTACAAGATCTTTAGGTAACTGAAAACTTTGGGCTGATATTAAGTTGAGTTAATGGATATTCATTAGATACCTGTATCATTTCTAAGAATGCATTAATTATTAAGCATAATTTTGGGTTTATATGCTTTTGCTTCTTTATTTTTACATGCTACAGAGAAAAACTCTATGTATTTGGGTCTGTTAATGAACATGTTCTTTTTGGCCACTTATAGAAGTTGTACTATAAAGGATGTGTATGCATCTAGAAAATGGCAGAAGGTTCACAGAAAGGGAATTTTATTTGTTGAGATCAAAGTTGGCTAAGGTTTGATGGGCTTATTTATCAGATTTCCAAAAAGAACTTCAGTATCAAAAATTATATGCTGCTGCAGAGCTAGAGTTTGGTTTTCTCTTTGTTAAAATGTAATTTTTTTTGCATTATTGGCCTTCTCTTAATAACAGGCTGTAAAGGTTTTGCTTCACTAAGTAATCTTCAATAACAGGCTGTAAAGGTTTTGCTTCACTCTCTAAGTAATCTTCCTCAATAAAAAAGATTTTGTGTCTTTCCAGAATAACCTTATATGGCTTATGTTGACTTTCTTATGGCCTTGATTATTTAAGAAAGCAAAGTCTTCTTACTTAGGAAAGAGATGAGGTTCTTTGTCCTTTTTTGTAAGATTTATTTATTTATTTGTTTGAGAGAGCTGGAGAGTGAGAGCCTGAGAGCTGGCCCAATGCTGCCTAATGCCGGGCTTGATCGCAGGACTCTGAGAACATGACCTGAGCCAAAACCAAGAGCCGGTCGTTTAACTGAGCCACCCAGGTGGCCCGAGATGAGGTTCTTTATGGTCATATTAGCTCCTATGTTTATGTTAAAAATCTTTTATCGTGGCTTTGGTTAAATAGAGAACCAAGTAGCATTTTTCAGTGATCCATCATCTTATCTTAATTGAATCCCAGAAGACCCTGGAAAACCACAAAAGATTTGTTCTTTCACCTTATAAAAATAGACGTGCTAGAAATAATTGGGTTTATTTGTTATGTTACTATTGATGAGATGCACAGGAAGAGTTGCCACATCAGAAGAGATGCTCAGCTTTCCCAAGGTTAAATTGGTGTAGGCAAATTGTTATTAATATAAATATTTCAGAAATTGTATATTGTATAGGAAGTTCCTAAAGATCCATCAATGTCCTCACTGGCCATGATTTGTTTCTATTCGTCAGAGTCATTATGCTGCTTTGCCAGATTTTAGATGACTACAGTATAGTGTTTTCAGTGGTAATTTAAAAATTTTTTTATTGTTAACTTGGTTTCAACTTTATCGTGAATCTCACATCTGCTAGGTCATTAGTTTCGATTGGGGATTCTCAGCATTTACTTATGGGATTTTATTAATATATAGATGTTTAAGACCTACTCCAGTTAACTGAACCTCTTTACTTGATATTCTTGATATATTTTGGGGATATTCTATATATATATATATATATATATATCAGGATTATTATAGGTTATATTTAAGGCTTTTTGTCTCTAACAATTATGTTCATCCATTTTTATAAATTAGATATAATACCCTCTCTTCTTTGGAAATAGGGTTAATCATTATGTTTATGGATATTCTGTCTAAAAACTTTTTTGGGATTGACTTTTATATTATTTTGCATGCCACAGAAACAACTACATGTCCTTGTCAGTTGCATTATTGTTCTTGTAATGAATTCTCATCAGATCTTTCATTTTTGAAAATGATCATAGCAAGTTAACCAAAGCTTTTGTACGTCTTTTGCTATTTACAGATGGTTTTGTTTTATTTTCGTCTGATGTATCCCTGAGAGCACTTGCAATCAGGTACAAGCTAGAGTGCTTCATCTTCAACAAAGAAAGGCTTTCTCAGAGCCCCATGGAAAATGATTTTGCCAAATACTGAGTACAGGCTTTTTATGGTATAACTGAAATGACTTTGAGACCATATCAATGAACTGAGTCAGGATTTCAAGAACTCTAGTTGACAAGTAAACGGGTTAGTGAGACCGCTGCTGCAAGGTCGAGTGGAACAAAAACTAATTACACAGACCTGAATGAAACTGATGAGGGATGATTGTGGATTTTGTTGAGAATATTACTGATGTTTTAAAGCAGACAGACCCATAAATAGAGAACAAACTGATGGTTGCCAGATGGGAGGAGTGCGGGGATGGGCAAAATGGGAGAAGAGGAGTGGGAGGTACAGGTTTCCAGTTGTAGAATGAATAAGTCATGGGAATAAAAGGCACAGCATAGGGAATGTAGTCGATGATTTTGTAATAGTGCTGGATGGTGACAGATGGCAGCTACGCTTGGGGGGAGCAAACTCCATAGGTTATATGGAGTTGTAGAATCATTAAGTTGGACACCTGAAACTAATGTAACATCATATGTTAACTATGTTTAATCAAAACGAAGACTACTGCTGATGTTTCAATGTTCTGATTTCTGGATGTATAAGGGACTCATTTCTCTTTTTTCTTATGCTATCTGTAACTCACAATAATTTAGTAAACCAGGCTTTTTGCAAACAGAAATGACACACTTGTAAATGATACCTCATTGTCCCTGCCTGAGCCCTCCAGGATTCAGAAACTCTTGTCGAGCATTCTGATTTCCATAGTAATATAATTATCTGCATAGGTTCAATAAGAATTATCTGTCCTACCTGTTATCAGGACATGAC